CCCTAATATACTCTTTAATATTTTCTTTCCTTTGATCAAGCAAGAAAAATCCGCTGATAATACATTTATAATATACTTATCTTAAAGATAATAGCGTATTATAATTGGCAGTGCAAAAAGTTTGGATCACGACTCGCCGCCATGTTTGACACTTAACGCCACCTAGCTATTCTTTCCGTCGGCGAAGGAATTACGTTCAGACTACTTTTATTTATCGCGTTGCACCGCAGAAAACGATTGCAAAATCGATGAGTTTATTGTACTTTACGGTTCATTACCCTATACCTCTTTGCTGCTCGCGATCGTCCCCAAAAGCCTTTTTCTTTCAACTTTTCATACTCCCGTATTGATTTATCGATCGTGCTCTCATACATAGTCCAGTGGTTCCCTCGCAATCTTTCTATACGTTTTGCATCCACTCGTTGTCGCTTGATTTTATTACATTCGAAAGTTGTTTTTAAATCTCCGAAATTTAAATACAATATAATATTTCCTTTATATTACATCGAGTATTTATCGATATTTATCACTTTATTTTGCTTTAGTTATTCGTACTGATATATCATTCAAAGAATAAAGTGTCGTATGATACAGGGAGTTTATTTATCACTAAAATAGTGAATTTTAATATTCGAACGTTGGTAACGGAATGCTGAAATAACATTGTCATAATGGAGGCAACGTCGAGGGTGAAACGAGTCCCTCTTTTTAAAGGCATCGACCAAGGAAGAACTATAGAAAGGCGCGATTATCGTTCAACCCGTTCGGTCGGTAAGAGCGGAACGGAAATGGTGAAACGGGCTCTCGGAGAACAGGGAGCCACTCTGCGTTCACTCGGTGGGTAATGAAGCGGGTGAACACAGCTGGTGGTATCTCAGTTTTCTGAGGGCGTTAGCAGCCCATTCAGTTACCTGCCGGCCCCCTATGGTGATTTTATGGAAGAACAATGCAACTGTCAATGAAAATGTAAATAAAAAAAAAAATAAAAAAACTTCAAGGACGCATAAAGAATACCAACAAAATTTTATTGGTACTTATAAAATCATGTAGAAAATTATTTAACGGATTACGATAAAACTCATCGTAATAATGTAACTTGACAGTACGAATCAGCAAGGCTGTTGAACTTTTTTTAATATTTACATTGCTGCACAGATTGTATATTGATACAAGTTACTACTAGATAAGGAGAGTTATCCAGGTGCTCGCAACATGATTCCAAATCCAAGCAGTTTAACGTCCACAGTGTGTATGCTTTCGCTGATATCGTGAGTCCACCAAATAGGGGCGTGACAAGTGGGAAATGAATTATTGATCGAGGTCGCTAGAGACCCCAGGATGGATATAGCTAATCCGACAGAACGAACAACGCGCAAGTACGTACGGTGTTACCATAGCACTGGCGCATCTCCGAAGATGAAACTGGCCTTTAATCTTCAACGAATTTCCCATTTCGTCGAATCGAATTTCAACTTGATAAATCGAAAAGTACATTATGAATCGAATACTCGCCAGATTGAACGGAATGGAGTGAGAGATGTTGAAATATATTTTGCAATCAAGATTAAAAAGATCTCGTTTACCGATTAAGAATTATTTCGAGGACTTTCTAATACGTCGCGACTAGAGCATGCGTCTTCGCAGCGCGCATGCGTGGGCGCCATGAATCTTACATTTGAAATGGCCCATGGCGCGCGGCGCGCTAGGATGCGCACAAGGTCGACCGGGCTGTCAAAATCAGCTGACGCTCTGGTGACCAATCAGCTGATTCCCGACTTCTCAGGAGGACTGCTTTTGGTCTCGAAGATTTGGAGGGCGCTAACTTCGTCCATTCTGTGAACCAATAATTTTAAGATTCTTATTTCACTGTTTTTTAAATTAATTTCTTTTCGGTATAATTTAACCGTCATATGCAAGATTTTTAATTATCATTGAAATTAGAATTTTTTAATAATTTTATTTGAATTAGAATTCAACGTTTAATTATTAATCAAGGTGCAAGGAGTCAGTTTAAATATGACGCAATAAAATGCTGAATGAATTTTTTTGTAAGGAGCTAATATAGTTAGAAACAGCACTCGAGATTCTCTGATGCATTCATTAGATCATAGTAACTTGTCAAACGTTTGATGGTTGTGGTGACATCATCGCCGCCATTATCACGATTAAACGTCCATAACGAAATTTCTGTTTTTATCGCGGAAAACAATTTCCTCTCGGATAATGAAATACCCATCGCGCATAAAACGATTGAAAATACGAATTTAAGTGAATTAAAAAATTTCTTCTATGGCGGAATAACAACTTAACTATACAAAAAGTACTAAACGAATAGCATTTTTCAGCTATTAGGTTTTATATGTTAGCGCACTGCTTGGATAAATGCAGACTCGAAATAATACGTTGACAGGTTATACTATAGGTTCTGTTATCTATGGTGCAAGTAACAGCGCGCGAAGATTGAAATTATTCAGTATTTCGATAATTAAATGGCGATAACGTAATTGGAGTAATTATTTCGCGCTATGCTGATTACACCTTAACTAACTCTCGATTTTTCTGTTGTAATTCGTCTCTAACCACTGACTAAAACCAAACCAGAAAGTTAGGACTGATATCATAGTTTCCTGTCGTTAAGACGCCATCTTGGATATTTGTGGTTATAGAGATATTATTATCGTTTACAATTATCCGTGAACTTAAAAGTACTTATTGGATTGGTAATGTCTTTCGATATGTACTTCCCAGTTAAATGAAAGTTCCTTTTACAAATGTTCAACGAAATTTACTTCATGAATACATAATCTCACGGCAAACATGCACAAGTGTCGATAAACAAGATCAACAGTATCACAACCGTAGGCGAACTGCTCTACATTCAAGGTCTCTGCACCTAAAAGGTTTTAATACATCCTACATACATCTTACTACAGTGCCAATCTACGAATATATCTTCATTACGATGGAAATACTTTAGCATCTAGGAAATACCAAAGCAAAATTCGAGAAGAGATTAAAAAATAAATTGAAAAATCAATTAAAAATCAAATTCGAGGACATGATGATAATAAGAAAAATATACGGAGAATATGAGAACGTGATATTTCTCTGAGGAAGCACCGTCGGTACAGTAGATGCCTTGATGCAGGAGAGACCAGAAGCAAAGTAAACGCGCTCGAACTCGTCCTGATGTCGTAAATACATCCGCACGACTTGGCGGAAAATTTAACCGCCACGTCATTCGACGTTGCATTCTGAGAAAAATCGCGCGAGCGCGGCAGAGAGGGAGTGCGACGAGCGTGTAAAAACGTCGCGTTACGGCCCCCTACAAGGGACCGTGGAGGGGCGCTGGGAGTGAGGGGGAGGGGAGTTACGTAAGGCGCGCGCTGCGACGACAGTAAGAATTGCAGCATGCGTTTTTGGCAGGGAGAAACGTTTTCGTTCTGTCCTCTAACGACCACTCTCGCGTGCTTA